CCAAAATTGGTGTTTGGTCAAAGGACTACCATCAGAGTGGTGAAACAATAAACTAGCCCCCCATACCCAGACTGCTAAATAACTGGCAAGGGCAGAAACTGGGCAAAGCTCGAGATCAGAACAAGGACTTAACATGATCACATTAGCATGCTGGTGCTGGTCAGTTTTGGAGTGCCTAATCGTAAGATAAGCCATCCCTGAGGGCAATTTGAGGTCTGCAGCCAGGAGAGCCCGACCTGAGGAATCATTCTGAGATTCTGCAACCAACTTGCTAATTCGAAGGGCCCCCCAAAAGGCAACCAAAGCAGCCACGTGAAAAAGGCAGGCCTCGAATTCTGACGAGCAAACTCCACACCAAACCCCTCTCAGTCCCTTGAGGACCAAAGGTGACATGGACTTCTGAGTATCAGCTTGCTGACCTGACTTCCTGGACCACCCCAATATTCTCTCTAAGCTATGGAATCTTGTGAGCAAAAATTCTACCTTGTGAGATACTGGCATTAAAGTTGTGAGTGAGCGGTTTGGCTACTGCATAATTTAGTCTGCTCTGGAGCCATCCTTCTTGAGCTAAGACAAAAATGTGTGAGCCGGAGGCTAAAAACCTGTGAGCTAGCTCACACTGACTCAGCTTAGGGGGAACACTGGACCACCCCTCCAGCATCTTCTTCAGTCAGAAGTCATTTGTATCCTCCCAAAATCCCAGAAGGAGCTGCGGTGGCTCAAGTGGTTAAGACGCTGAACGGCAGGCTGTGGAAGGTCAGTAGTTCAGCAGTTCGAGACCTGGGGGCCGCATGATGGAGTGAGCTCCCATCTCTAGTCCCAGCTCCTGCCAACCTAGCAGTTCGAAAGCAAGAAATTGCAAGTAGATAAATAGGGACCACTTCGGTGGGAAGGTAACAGCGTTCTGTGCGCCTTGGTGTTTAGTCATGCCGGCCACATGACCACGGAAACGTCTTTGGACAGCACTGGCTCTTCGGCTTTGAAACGGAGATGAGCACCGCAACCCTAGAGTCGGATTCAACTGGCTTTCGAGCAAGGGAACCTTTACCTTTACCTTTAAAAGCCCAGAACCTTACTGGCGAAGGCCAGCACAGACAGCCATCCCTGAATGAAACGCACAACAAGCCCTTACTTTTAAGGTCAATGCAATAGTGGAGCAAGCGCTCCACATGTAGGGGTCACGGTACCTGGTACCCAACCTCTGACCTAAACTCCTTGAACTGCTGTACAGCACGCTCGTACGACCTCCTGGTGCTGGGAGCTATAGCAAGGCCTATCGCTCTGCAGGTCTTGGCCTTCCAAGCAGCTAGAGCTCCAGGGGGATCCTTGCCAGATGAAGATTGACTTGTGGGGCCAACTGATGAAACTTCTCCATCTGTTTATGAAAGAGAGTGTCAGCTACACCATTTTCAACCCCCCCTGGAACGTGCCTGACCAAAACCCAGATGTTAAGACGAAGGCAATGCAGAGTGAAAGCCTGAACCAAAACCATAACTCGGGGGGACCTGGATGAAAAAAAATTGATGACATGAACCACAGCGAGGTTGTCACACCAAAAGTGTACCCTATGGTTTACCAAATCGTCCCCCCAAAGCTTAACTGCCACCAGTATCGGGGGGAAATCAAGGAAAGTAAGGTCCCTGTTGAGTCCTGCTGCCACCCAAAATGATGGCCAATCTTCCACGCACCCATGTCCATGAAAGTAGATCCAATGAAACCACAGCATCGGAGGTAACCTAAAGCTGAGCTTCAAGTCTTAAATCATCTCTCCAAAAAGATGCACCATTGAAAGACTCCAAAAATTAATGTCAGACTGTGAGGTCCTCATGCATGCAAGCCGTAATTCATGTCCTATGGTTTAAGCCAACCATGGCATCGCAGAGCCTTCGCAAAAAGGCCCTCCCTGGAGCTACAACTTTACTAGCTGCTGCAATTCCAGCAAAGTTGCTTTGCGCTTAGAGAGGAAGCTGGAGACACTAGCACATAAGTCCGGCACCTTACTCTCAGGTAAATGAGACAATTGCACCACCATGTCCAGCTCCACACCAAGAAATGTCAACTGCGAAACCAGACCTTTAATATTTCCATGAGCCAGGGGGACACCCAACTCGGTAGCCAGCCCAAGGAAACTCGAAAGAAGCAGACCACTTTGTCCAGAACCAGCTGGGCCCACAAAGAGGAAATCGTCTAGATAGTATGTGACGTCCCAGAACCTTACCCATTCAAGAAATGAGCTAAAGCATTCGAAGGCAGCACATGACATGGAACAACCCATAGGCAGGGCTCTATCCATGTAGAACTTACCCTCAAAGGAGAAGCTCAGTAATTCAAAGTTGTTGGGATGCACCAGGAGAAGGCGAAAGGCAGACTTGATGTCGCATTTAGCCATCTCAGCTCTGGGCCCATAGCGCCGTATGACCTGTACAGCCTGATCAAAGATCATAAAGCACACAGAACAGAGGTGGTCAGGTATACCATCATTCACTGATCCTCCCCGTGGGAAGGAAAGGTGATGAATTAGATGGAATTCACCAGGAGCCTTTTTAGGCACAACACCGAGGGGGGGACACCCACAAATTAGGTACAGGCAGGGAAGGAAAAGGTCCTAGCACCCTACCTTCAGCCCTTTCCTTGTCAATCTTTTCCCGAACAACATGCTCCAGGCCCTGAATAGAATCAAGGTTCTTAACCATAAAGGGAGCCCTTGGCCCCATAAAAGGAATCCTGAAACCAAACTGAAAACCCTCCAACAAATATTTAGCATTGCTTGTCTTCGGGTACTTAACCAGCCAAGCCTCCAGCACCCTTACCAACACACTTTACTTATCATCTGCCTCCACAATATTTTATACAGTTAAACGCAGGCTTCTAGATATTCAATTTCAGTGCCTGATTGAGGCAGCCAGGAAAACCTGTTCCCCAGTTCATCTGAGATTATCCCAGACACTGGGCCAGACAGCTACTTATTTTTGCTCTCTAACTTGATCACCATCAAAGAAGGGCATTTTTGTTAGCCAGATTTAATGTATTGCATTTGACATCTTCTCTGGAAGATGCCAAAAAATCCCCTATGAATTTAGGCAATGCCCCTGTGGTCAGGGTGTTATCGAATCCATTCCCCATGTTCTTTTAAATTGTCCATTTTATACTAAGATTCAAGAAAAATTTCTGGACACCCTTCTTTTTACATGGCGTGGTCTTCCTGAGAGCGTCAAGGTCCAGCTGCTACTCTCTTGGCAAAACGCTTCTATAACTTTTAATATTGCTTGGTTTCTTCCATCTGTAATTCAAACCAGGGAAACTATTAATTGATCAGTTCTTTTTTTGTTGGCTGTTCGACAGCCATACTTTTGATGTATTCCTAAATTTTAATGTAACCTTATCTCTTACATGCCAATAAAGGTTGTCTGTCTGTCTGTCCCACTGAAGCATAGAGTTCATGGCTGCTCGCATGCAGAATTCCGGAACTGCCGGGCCCTGAGTAGGATAACCAGCCCAAGGTGGTGGAGGCCAAACTGCCCTGAGGGCCAAGCCCACTGATGGGGTGAGATGGGAGGTATAAGCCTGATTAGAGGCTGGGGGACCTGAGACAGGTGGCTGACTCCATGGTCCCCAAGGCCACACAGGTGATGGTTGCAGAGTGGAAACAGACTCACCCAACAAGCCCTGAGCCCCTGAAGATGTTGTTGCCACTTCAGATCCAGAACACTGGTCAGGCTCAGTGAGCCCAGGAGCTGCATCTGACTTCTCACCCATCTTCCATCCTTTGCCTGAGCCACCGGGCTTGGTAACCTGGCCTTCAAGAAGAGATAGACGTATTAATACAGAAGCTTGAAACTGAATTTTAGAAGCAGATTTTGTCTGTTTTTTGGGTCCCTTGTCTGTAGCAGCAGGTGCCACGGGAGCTGTGACCCCGAAGGCCTGTTCAAGAGCTAATAACCTATCCAATATGGCCTGTTGGACGATGTCATCATTGTCATCATCCGAAGAAGAGAGAATAGGTGCAGGCTGCTTTGAAGGAGCCTTAGGGGCGGGCTGCTTGCCCTTAGACTTCCCCGCTCCTTTCTTAGGGGCCATGTCCCTGGAGTCTAATGAACAATTAACCCTCAATACCATTTCACTAAATGCCTCACCCCAGGACACCTATTACCAACAGGAGTTAGGGTGGGGGAAAGGGCATAAAAGGGGGCAATGCTGCCCCCCTCTATACCTGGATCGGATGATAAGCAGATTACCCACCACCAATGTTCCCTCTAAGCTGTGGAGTCTTGTGAGCAAAAGTTCTACTTTGTGAGCTACTGGCATTAAAGTTGTGAGCAAGCAATTTGGCTACTGCATAAATTAGTTTGCTCTGGAGCCATCCTTCCGTAGCTAAGACAAAAATGTGTGAGCTGGAAGCTAAAAAACTATGAGCTAGCTCACACTCAGCTTAGAGGGAACACTGCCCACCACCAGCAGAAAAGGCTATGTGGTGCAAATATACCAAGGGATCCCCCCAGGCAAACATATCCACCCAGAACCAAAAGAGAAACCAGGTGGGGAAGGAGGAAGGCCCACGGCCCAAAGCCCCCCGATGCCTGGTGCCACCTGTAGCCCATGCTCAAGGCTGGTCCCAAGCCTGACTACCGCAGACCTTTATGGCCCCCCCCCAAGGAAGGGTGCCTCCTCTATTGTGCGGTTCTCAGGAAACTAGCCATGTCGGGGCTGCACCTGGCCATGAGCCACCAGCCACTGACAGGCCCAAAAACCCAGCCCCAGACAAGCCACAGCTGCAGCACACTCCCGGCACCACTCCTCACCCCAAAGGAGCCCCAGACACCACCCCCTTGATGACGATGAAGGCCAGAAGCCCAGGAGGGCCTCGTGGCTGCCACCAAACATTGCCCACACACCCTGCAGCAAGGCCAATGCTGAGGGCACTGCCCTCGATGCCGTAGCCACCGTCCGCCGAAGCCAGTCACTGCTGCACCGTCCGCATGCTGCCATTGCCGCACCCAAGAATGGGCCCTGTCGCAACCACCACTGCTGCTGAAGCTAGGCCTACCACTGTCGAGGGGCCCTGCAGCCGTGGAAGTCCAACTGGCCACCTTCAGCAGCCCTGGTCCATCAGCCCGAAGGTAAGCAGCTCAAGGCGAGCCTACCTCACTCATGCTGCCAGGCCTTCCCTCTAACAGCCAAGGCTCGAGGCAGGAGCAACAAGGAGCTCCTGCCTGACCAAGGAAAATGTGGCAACTGAAGAGGCAGGAGCGTAGCTGGCCATTAAAACATGCAGGCTCCACCACCCAAGGTCCCAGATGCTAATAGCATCATGCTCGCTCGCTCTCCTACAGGGGCAGCAAAGACGGCCCCCCAGCAGCACAGCCATTGGCCGTCTGCCGTGTGTGGCCAGATTACCTCATTATTTCCTCTTCTGTCCTTTATATTCTGACCCTAGGCCTAAGTTTTTGGTGGGAATTTTATCTGGCTTAACCTTGTATACCAACACTGAGAAAATCATATTTTTGCTTTCTGCTACTGATGCATATATTATGTATAGAGTCTCACTTTTTGCCATTGCTGCTATGAAGATTAGGTCTAATGCTAAAAAGGTGAAGGTTTCCCTTGCTCGAAAACTAGTCGAATTCGATTCTGGGGGGCGGTGCTCATCTGTTTCCAAACCGAAGAGCCAGTGCTGTCCAAAGACATTTCCAGGGTCATGTGGCTGGCATGACTAAATCCCGAAGTGCATGGAACACTGGTGCCTTCCCACCGAACTGATACCTATTTATCTATTTGCAATTTCTTGCTTTCGAACTGCTAGGTTGGCAGGAACTGGGGCCAGACACAGGAGCGGTTAAACACAATAATGACTGATACTCCATAAATATTTATTTATTTATTTATTCGATTTATACCCTCCCCTCCCCGCCAAAGCAGGCTCAGTGCAGCTTACAAAGGATAAAACATAAAAACAATTATAACATAGGCAAAACCATATAAAACCATCTATACAATCTGATATCATAAAGTGCTAGCTAGTTGTAATTAATACTTAAAGATGGCGGCAACAGTTATGTTAGTATAATCTCTGGTCTCTGGTCTGCCTTGCTTATCAGTTTCACATTCTTTATCATATATATGAGGCAAGCACAGGCACAGGTTCTGTCTTTCTCAAGTATCGTTAATGATCTTTAGTGATAATGTTGTTGTTGTTGTTGTTGTTAATAATGGTGGCAGCTCCTTAACCAAAGGCCTGGTGGAAGAGGTCTGTCTTGCAGGCCCTGTGGAACTGTAACAGGTCCTGCATGACCCTGATCTCTTCTGGGAGCTCATTCTACCAGTGCAGAGCTGCCACCGAGAATGCCCTGGCCCTGGTTGTTGCCAGTCTGATGTCTTTGGGGCCCAGGAGGGTCAATCGATTTTGAGACCCTGAACGTAGTGCTCGCTGGGGTACATATGGGGAAAGGCGGTCCCTCGGGTATGTCAGCCCCTGACCATATAGGGCTTTAAAGAACCAGCACCTTGAAGCGAATTCAGAATGCTATCAGCAGCCTTTAGCACAGGCTGGATGTGCTCCAGCATAGGGAGACCCATCAGGAGCCTGGCCGCTGCATTTTGCACTAGCTGCCACTTTCAGATTTGTGACAAGGGCAGCCCCATGTAGAGAGTGTTACAGTAGTCCAGTCTCGAGATGACCATCGCGTGGATCACTGTTGCCAAGTCGTTGCGGTCGAGGAAGGGAACCAGCTGCTTGATCAGCCGAAGAAGGTAAAAGGCTGACTTGGCAGTGGCTGCTACCTGGGCCTCCATTGTTAGGGAGGTGTCCAAGAGCCACTCCCAAGCTCCTAACCTCTGGCACTGGCACCAACAGCACCCCATCAAAGGTCAGGAGTGGGATCCCTACCCTCGGACCATGTTGATTCAGGCACAGGATCTCTGTCTTCATCGGATTCAGTTTCAGTGGGCTCATTCTAAGCCAACCAGCCATGGCTTGTAATGCCCAGTCTAGATCTTTCAGTTTAGAGTCAGACTGGCCACCCAACAACAGATAGAGCTGGGTGTCATCTGCATATTGGTGACAACCCAGCCCATGCCTCCGGGCAATCTGGGCATGGGGGTGCATATGGATGTTAAATAGCATCGGAGACAGCACTACTTCTTGAGGCACTCCACAGTTCAGTGGGTGCCTTTGGGATAGCTGTTCCCCTAGTGCCACCCTTTGTCCCTGACCTCGGAGAAAGGAGGCAAGCCATTGTAAGGCAGACCCCTGAACTCCCATGTCAGCAAGGTGGTGGATCAGTAACTGATGGTCAACCGTGTCAAACGCTGCTGACAGGTCCAACAGTTGAACCACCCTGATCCAGATGCCTCCGGAGGTCGTCCATGAGGGTGACCAGTGCTGTCTCCATCCCATGGCCCGAGCGAAAACCAAACTGGAAGGGATCTAAGATGGAAGCGTCATCCAAAAAGCTCTGTAGCTTACCATGTATACCATGTATAATGTATATTTTTGTGCCAAGCATAACAGGAACATTAACTTTAACAAGCAGCAATAAGCAATAGAATTAAAACAACTCAGTACTTTTTTATATCTGTTCTCTAGCTTCGCAAAAACCAGTTACAACTTAAATTGTGTGTTTCTGCTATGTTATAAAAGTATTACGGCCAACCCCTTTCTGCATGTTGGCATATCCCTGAACCTTACTTCTGTAACTGCAAAGCCCAGGGTCTCAGATAAAAGGTGTGCAGTTGTATGTGGCAAAAGCTAGAGGTCCTTTCCTGAAAAACACACTCTCTCCCAGTTTTACAGTTGCGGCTGCAGCAGCGACAAAGCCGAGAGCAGCTCACCAACCAAGGAGACATGCCACGTGAGTACTCTGCTGTCTCGTTCTGTCTTTGCTATGCCAGGGAGCTCAGGCAGCCTCTGCTGAGGGTATCGCTTTCTGCCAAGATGATAACTGCAGTAGTAACAACCATCTCCAGATCTGGAAAGGGCAAAAGATACCTCTATGAGGCCCACCATTCTGGCACTAGGGAAGCCGTTACAGAAAGAAAGGGAAAGCTGTGGCAGAAGTACCCCCTCCTCTGTAGTTCTGTGTCTCAAGAGGGCTGTAAAGCTGCAACAATTATTTCTTCATAGGATACCAAGAAATAGATTGAGAGAGACAGCTTGTTCAGCACTGTATGGGACACATCTTTAGTGTATTGCTGCCATTACTGTTAAACCTCAAATACTTAGGGATTACGTTTCAATATAACCTTAAACGGTCAACCCATAGCTCCTGTAATATTTCTTTAGTTAAACGATCTGTTTCACACCTTAAACAATTCTTTTATTCCAGAGGGAATCAATATTTACTGGATGCCATAAAGATCTTTGAAACCAAAATTCTCCTTCAATTATTATATGGCATTCTCCAAAGATTTCATAGCAATCTTGAAAGACTACAGGCCTGTCTTTTTCACCAACTTCTAGGCATTTCTTACAGTATTCCATATTCCTCTCTTTGTTTAGAATTGGGCCAACATTTTATAGATACTAAATGTTGGTTATTAACTTTTAAATATTGGTTGAAAATACACTTCAGATCGCCACCAAATTCTTTAATCTCACATTTTAAAAATGAGTTTATAGCATAACCTGGTTGGCATATATTGAGAAGAAAATTAGTCAAATTGGCTTCTCCTTAGAATATTTCGATTACTGGATGAAGTCTCTATTTTTCAGATTATCAAACGGAGACTGCTTGACCTTGACCTCCAAATGTTATGTCCTGTGCAATTTCGCATATTTTCTTAGGCTCAGTTAAATCTCCCAATTCAATGTGGCCAGATGACCCATTATCTCCACAACTTAGTTCAGCCTTCTCACTGTAGAGCCTTTACATTAGCCCGTCTAAATGTTTTCCCTATAAAAATGCTCTCAGATCGGTTTAATAAAATCCCCCTACATGAAAGGTTATATTCTTGTCCTTTAAAATCTGTGGATTCAATATATCATATTATTTTTGACTGTCAATTTCACTCAGCCATATGCAAAGAATTGTTGTCATCTTTATTTCCTCCGAATTTTAGTTCTAGTAGGGAAAAAGCTATTCAGTATCTACTAAAGGATACTAATCCTAATATTACAGCTTTAGTGGCCAAGTTTCTTGCCGAAGCAGTCAAGGTTAGATCTGTTCTCATAAAGGAATGATGCATACTGTTTATTATGTTCCTAAATACCCATACTGTGTTATTGTATATCTATGTATCTTACTGCTATGCCATTAAAGGTATTTGAATGTGAATTTACTGTTAAACCTAAGGTCTAGAAATTTCATTTAGTGAACAAAGCTTAAAATCCTAACAAAATGGACGGTTCCACCAAAGAGCTTTTGGCAGGTTATAGTCCTAAAGCACATATCACTTCCATAACCTGTTTAGGGTGCACAGGACACTTCACAACAACACTACAAGGTAGGTCATTGTTATTCCAATTTTTTGCAGATGGGGAAACTGAGACTGAGAGAGATAACACCTTGCCCAAGGCCACCCAGTGAGTCCATGGTCAAACTAGGATCTGAGTCCAGGTCTCCCCGCCCAAACGCTCTGTCTGCCAGATCACGCTTTCTCCAAGCTGCCCACTATTACTGCATAAGCCTTTGGGTGCAGCACGCTGCTAGCATTTGCTGTTGCTTCCCTATTCACTCACCTCCTGTGCAAAGTTCTACATTATTGTATGAAATGTCTGCTGCTTCCATACAAATGGTGCATGTAGCTTTTTGGCATCTGCATAGGCCCTTTCAGTGTATGCAGTACAGGTACAGCTTGTGAAGTATTACAGAGTGGATTTGCACAGACTGTTTATTTAATGCATTGCCTGGGATTCTTGGCAGTTTCATCCCTATACTGCTATCAGAATTAACTGTCATGTTCTGCAAAAATGAGGTGTTGTTAGGGTTTGCCAACTGTCAGGAGATGATCTGACACCCCATAAAAATTGTTAGTTTACCCCCTAAAAGGCATTTTATTTCTCAGACAGAGGCTAAAGGAGAGTGACAAAGGGTATGGAAGCAGGAATAACAGCGTTAATTTTAGGCCACAGAGGTAAATGGTTCTGCACAATCTCCGTGAACTAACGTGATTTTTCACCTTAGTAAGAAACAAGTTTGCATCTTATAGTCTTACAATCTTTCAGGGGCACAATGCTTGCCTGTGGGCTCTCTTCACAATAAAAGTAAAGGCACACAACCAACTTGTCTTTTATGTAGGAAAGCAGCCAAGGAATTGGGAGAGATGTGTATTTTTAAAAACTGTCAGAATGGCCAATCACGTGTATAAAATACATGAACTCTTTGTCCAGTTTATCGCAGATCTTCAGACACTTCTTATTCTGTCTCTACATGAATTTATCAAAATGTATTCAAGGAACATATAATGCCTGTGCAATCACAGGACTGAAATAATATCTTATTTAAATATCATGTTGGTGCATCACCACTATCATATCTTCTGAACACCCACATATTCATCAGGAGGATGTGAGGGATGAGGTACACGGTAGACATGGAGGTATTTAAACCCATCCATATCCAGTCTGCTGTCACTGCCAAGTGAATGGCCTGAGAACATCTGATTCTTTATTTATTATTAAGTAAGATCAGTGCCTGAATGGAGGATCACTGGGAGGCCCACTTGAAGGAGGATTTTTTTAAAAAAATGCTTATCAGTAAGGTAGGCAGTAGTAGATCTCCCAGCTTTTTTCTAGCCTCTTTCTAATGCTTTGTTCTTCTACCTTTTCTGTGAAGTCACCATCTTTCTGTCTCCCATACATAAGATGACCATAGCAATACTTACATGTAGACAGAATGAGTTTATGGTGTTACTACCATTTTATCACACACATAAAACCCACGTATGTATCTATAAACAAATCCAATAAGCCTCTCTACCAGAGCTCCACTGAGACCCTCTTTCTTGAACTGCACATGCAAACTTCATGTCAGTTCCATAAAATAAAAAATGTTTTTTAAACTCTATGATTTTCCAAAGACTATTTAGGCTTAAGGCTATGGGAAGGAAGGAAAAGACAATTTGACTTTTGCCCCCCCCCCCAATCTGGAATAAAGAGGCATACAACAATGCTGCGAAAACTAAAAGGGCCACTTTATTAACTGTTAACAACAACTCAAGACAGCAAGGGCTGAAAAGGTTGTGACCCAGCCAAGGCCAAGGGTCATCCTGATCCCTCCCTTTGCTAAGTAAATAGGGTGAGCCACCCAGCCCTGTGTCAGAGCCCCATTCAAATCACTCTTCGCACACACAATTTCTTGATTGAAAGTTTTATTAGAAGACATGAGATGTTTAGGGAATGACTTCTTTTGTCAGAACTGAGGTAGAAAGGCGGGAAAGGTGCATGTAGTTACAATCACACATTTCATTCATACATGTCAGCAATCTACTTGGACCATAGGAATTAGGGTCCTCCTCTAGCTAATCAAAGATGTTTCTCCAGGGACATCTTCCCGTGTGAAACGATGTCTTGTTGGTGCTCCATAGAAGAATTACAATAGCAAGCCGTCTACTCCTACAGATACACTTTCACTCTCACTCCCCTCCCCTTCAGAATGCTGTGGCAGGCGAGGGTAAAGATAAGACCACTAAAATACACTCTGAGGAGGAAAAGGGTAAGCCAGGTTAAAGCAGGGGAAGATACATCAGGGAATCTTGAATGGCAATAAAACAGCTACATATGATCAATCAACCCAAGCCTGACACCCTGGCTGGGAGCCCACATGCTGTAGCTCCCATCCGGTCAGCACGGCAATTGGACAATCGCCGTGGCCCTCCAACCCCCGAACCACAGGGCTCAAAGGGAAGATCCAGGGCAATCCCACGGGCAGTCTGCTTTCCCTGCCCCGGGCCTCAGGGCCCAAGGACTGTACTCACAAGACCCCAAGACCCCATAAGGGGGTTGCCAGCTTGTGCTCACCAAGCCACAATCTATTTTTTAATAAAACTCTGCCAACCCTAAAAGTGACCAGCCTATTTGCTACCACACCCAAGCCAATTTCCCAATCCACAACTACAGTATAAGGTAGGTGAAAACACCCCCACCATGGAGTAGGCTTGCCAAGTCCCCCCGGGGGCGGGGAAAACCCCGCCCCAGAGGCCCGTTCCCCGCCGCTGGCAGATCAGGCCCCGGGGGGTACCCCACCCCGACGTGCGCGTCACCAAGAAGTGACGTTAGGACACCGGGCACGCTGGGGGCGGGGTCACAACCATCAGAGGGAAAACTCTATGGTTTTCTCTCCGATGGGGGCCTCTGGGGCGTTTCTGGGTGACGTGCGTCCAGTTGCCACCTGGGAGTCCCCCACTGTGGCTGAGAAGCGACTTGGCAACCCTACCATGGAGCCAATTTAGGAAGGGGCAAAAAATTCCTACCTGGCCCCCAATAGGGCAACCGGCAACAAGACTGTACTGCAAGCAGGGTGGGAGGGATGGCAGCGAGGCAGGGCGAAGACTGGAGGAAGGAGGCAGGGGTTGGCCCAGGAAAACTCTGGCTCCACCCCCTCTAAATCCCCATATGCGGCCAATTGCCATCAACAGCTAGCCTCTCCTCCTAGCAGGGAGGCAAAGGTGGCACACCAGCCGCACGGCGTGAGGGGCCGGCAGCCGGGTGAGCTGGATTATAGAAAAGAATTACTTCCTGATTTAACTTTCTGCTTTAAAGTAATGTTTCATTTTGTCTGTAACCAAGAATGGTAGAACTTACCAGGGAAAAATAAAAACATGCTCAGGTGTTTATTGCAAATGTCATTATTTTGAGCATTTTCCAAAAATCGCTCAAAACTTGGAAGTCATGCAATTTTGCCACCTGTAAAGTCAGGAGCAGGGTTTCTCTGAGTTGCATGTGTGTTCTTTCCATCTTCTCACTGTAAGTGACCTCCTGTCTTCTGTTATCACCCCCCCTTCCAGGAAAGGTGATCCATTCAGCCCAGTATGGACATTAATATTTTCTCAGAATTTACCCATACCTCTTTATTTTTTCAGAGACTTGCCAATGCTTTGTATTTTAAAGACAGCAGAATCCACACAATTTCTCTTGGCAAATGATGTTGTTTTCTGTTCATCTTTTCTTATTGGACCCTCCTAACTGTAGAGCTGTACATGAACTGGGCTGCACATAACAACTGCTTTGGTTTCCTTCCTTGACCATTCCTTATTGCGGTTCTATTTCTTCATTATATACCTCCTTTACATATAATGCAACTCCTCCACCCTTCCTTATTTTTCTGTCCCTTTTAAATAAGTTATACCCCACTATCCTAATATTCCAATTGTGAGTGTCATCCCACCAAGTTTCAGTAATGCCTATTAGGTCATAGTCCCCTTACTGTATTAGGACTTCAAGTTCCTCCTACTGCATTCCCATACTCTGCACACTAGTGTTGAGACATCAGAATCCATGTTTTATGCACCCTGAGGTTTTCGTTTCTGTACTTACATGTGAGTTAATGTTATCTAGCATACATGCCGCTCCCCACAAAACTTTAGAGTTCTTATCTCCAGTTACTGGCTTTGCATTTTTGTCTCACTCCCTCACAGGATTTAGTTTAAAGCTCTCCTTATTAGGTTTGCAAGGCTGTTTCCAAACACCTTTTTACCTAGAGCCAGTTTGGTGTAGTGGTTAACTGTGCAGACTCTAATCTGGGAGAACCGGGTTTGATTTCCCACTCCTCCACTTGCACATGGCTGGATGACCTTGGGCAAGCCATAGTTCTGATAAGAGCTGTCCTTGAAAAAGAGCAGTTTCTGTCAAGAGCTCTCTGAACTCCACCTACCTCACAGGGTGTCTGTTGTGGGGAGGGGAAAGGAAAGGAGTTTGTAAGCTGCTCTGAGACACCTTTGGGTAGTGAAGGGCGGGGTATAAATCCAATCTCTTCTTCTTCTTTCTACCCTTGTGAGGTGCAAAACATCTGATAGAAGAGCTTCATCTTGAAAGTGTAAACCATGGTTGAAAAATCCAAACCTTTCCTGATGACACCATTTACGGAGCCAATTTTTGATCTGCAGTATTCTTCTTTCCCTTCCTAAGCCACAGCCTTTGACAGGAAGAACTGACGAGAATACAACCTGCGTTTCCAATTCCTTCACCTTTTTACCCAAAGCCACATAGTCTCTTTTAGTACG